GGTTTAGGCTTTCCACATGGCTTATTATCAAGTATGACAACTTGTCATGTGTAATCAATGTCATGTCAGTTTCATGAGAATGGGCTCTCTAATCAGCTGCTTCGCCTTACTCTGGTGGGCTGTGAGACATATGGCAACCAAGACATTGCCGTTTACTATGTGGGTTGGGGGTGGTGCTAGGGCTGTGTGGGGCTGTGTGTGTTTTGGATGCGCATATTTTCCAGAAAGAGGCTTATGACAGATGGCATTGCTTATTTCTTATTTGAAACTGTGGATCAAAAATTATAATTATACATTCTAGGGTTTAGTAAAAAGTCACTTAACACAATGATCTATCTCTCTCTCTTTCTCACTCTCATTCTCTGTCCAGACTGTCCTTGAACTTGTGAAGATTCTTTCGCCTCAGTTTTCCAAATGCTGGTATTACAGGCATGAGCCACCACTGCAGACAGAGATCTGTTTTTGAATATTGTTTGTCATGGATTATTGGTATATGGGCAAATAATGATGAAGACTGGTTGATTTACAGACTGTCAATCTAAAACTAAAATCTATGTCTTGGTTATTGAATACAATTCTCATTAAGTATGGAGGCAGTAGTTGAGATCTGATTCTTTTTCTTCTTTCTTTGTATTCTCTATCTTGAACAAACTGCCATAAATAAATGGTATATTTCTTGTCATGTGTACGTGATTAGTCAGTTTTCATATTCTGTAGTAGAAAATCTCTTCTCAGTTTCCTTCTTTTAAATTTTGCAATTTTAGTAGCCTCAAAGCAGTAGCAGATAACTATTTCTCTGCATTTGTATATGAACCATGGTGTGTGTGTGTATATATAAGTTACAGAAATTCAGTCAGGTTTCTTTTTGTATGGCTTTCTCTGCAGTCAGCTAGTTTTATTTACCTATTGAACGCAGTGAGGTTGTGTTATGCACATATTCTTCTGTCCCCTATGATTCTTTAGGTCCGTAACACAATAGATAGTGACAGCCACTGCTAGCAAGTATTTGCGTTTCTTTAGTTGATGTTTGACATAAGTCTTAGACAAAGAAAGTGTCTCAGAGTATTTGTAATCTGGTCGGAACAAAGTATAACTCATGAGATATAGGCTAGAGTACATGCAAGTGTTTATCTGTGTGGCGCAGACTATATGATACTAAAGTCTTTTACTGACCTTCAAGATAGGTAAGTGAAATTGAAGAGTAGGACTGTATCACAGTTGATAGAGTGCTTGCCTAGCATGCATAAAAACCTAGGTTCAACCTCCAGCACCACATAAAACTGGACATGATGGCACACAATCAGAAATTCAAGGTCACCCTTCATTAAATGGTGAGCTCAAGTCCAGCCTAGGAAAGTTGAGACTCTGCCTAAATAAATAAATAAATAAATAAATAAATAAATAAATAAATAAATAAATAAATAAATGAAAAATAAGTTCACTGAAGAACACAGTGGAGAAGTAGACTTAAATTGGTCCTTGGAGGAATAATCAAATCAGGAAATAGAATAATCAGGGAAAAAAAAGGCAATAAGGTAAAAATGAAGCATAATGTGTTTTGTTTATTGAATAGTGAAGAAATTGGTGATGAATTCATACTGGATTGCTTCTTAAGAAATAATCTTGGGGACTGGAGAGATGGCTCAGAAGTTAAGAGCACTGGCTGTTCTTCCAGAGGTCCTGAGTTCAATTCCCAACAACCTTATGGTGGCTCACAAGCATCTGTAATGAGATCTGGTGCCCTCTTCTTGCCTGCAGGCATACATGCAGGCAGAACACTGTATAAATAATAAATAAATAAATCTTTAAAAAAAGTATTCTTCACCACACATAAGTTAATGTGGTTTATAAGCATGCACGGTGGAGCCAGACGTGATGGCACGTGCTTAAAATCTCAGCATGTGGAATGTGGGCCAGAAGGACGTGTTGGATGCCAGGTAGGGCTATTTAGTAAGACCCTGTTTCAAGTGGCTAATGGGAGTGAGGAGATAGCTGCCCTAGTAAGGTGCCTACTGGGTAAACATGAGAACTTGAGCTGGATCCCCAGCACCCGTGTGGTAAAAGCTAGACACAGTGGCATTGGTTTGTAACCCTAGTATTGAGGAGGCAGAGACAGATGGATCCCTAGAACTCATTGGCTAGCTTGTGTGCTCCAGCTCAGTAAAGACCCGGTTTCAGAAATCAGGATGGCTGGCGTGAGAAATGGCTCAACAGTTAAGAGCACTAGCTACGGCCATGTTGATGTCTGTAGTCCATGCTGCCACTGGAAATCAAACAGCGGTCCTTGGTCTGTGCTGATGCTGAAGACCATGAAGATGTTTATGGCTCATGCTGTATAATGAATTAATTATTTTGTGTACATTAATTAATATAGGAAATTATTACAGTAGCAGTTTTATTTAACCAGCTAATCCCCCAGTGATTAACACAGAGAGACTATAATTATTCTGTATTTATTAATTGATACAGGAAATTATTATGGCAGCAGTTTTTGTTTTGGTTTGTTTTTGGTTTTGTTTTTTTTTTTTTTTGAGACAGGGTTTCTATGTGTAGCGTTGGCTGTCCTAGACTCACTTTGTAAATCAGGCTGGCCTTGAACTCAGTTATCTGTCTGCCTCTGCCTTCCCAAGGGCTGGGATTACTGCCGCTCTGGCAGCAGCAGTTTTTTTTAACCAGCTAGTCCCCCATTGAATGACACAAGAAGCTATGATTTATTATTAAGCTGTAGGCACTAAGCTGAGCAGATTCTGTGCTCTTCTAATCCTACTACCCTTAAAACTGCCATAAAAACCAGTCACTTGCCAATCTGATGACTCCTGGGTGGCTTCTCCATCAGACACACTTCCCTTGACCTCATGCTCCTAGTGCATCCTGTCCAGTTGCCAAGCTCTTTATCTCCTGCTATATCTGTGTACTCTCTCTCTTTCTCTATCTTTCCTTCTCTCTCTGCCTGTGGTCTCCTGACCCCAAGGCCGGGAACCTAATCTAAACTTCACCTACCTCTCTTCTGGCTAGCTACAGGCTTCAGCATCTTTCCTAACCAATCAGGGACAATTGAGACATTCCTTTCATCACAAGGATCTAGGTTCAACATTCATAACAATGCCTGTGGCAGAACGGGAACCAGATCTCAGGGCACTGAAATCAGATTCTGAAAAGACAGTGCACAAGACCCTCTTTCAACACCATGCTGTTGCCAGAGACCATGCACAAGGCCAGGATCCGTGCTTCTGCTGACTAAAGGGCAAGGAAGCTACTTTCACAGTGGGATCCATGTTTGCAGATGTACAATTGAGAAAAGGAACAGAGGCTTCTCTGACAGCGCCACCCCTGGCCCTGAGTAACAGCCTGAAAAGCAAACTTATCAAAGAGAACTCTTAGAAATTGTAATAAGGGGACTGGAGAGATGGTTCAGAGGTTAAGAGCACTGGCTGCTCTTGTAGAGGTCCGAGTTCAGTTCCCAGCAACCACATGGTGGCTCACAAACATCTGTAGTGGGATTTGATGCCCTCTTCTGTACTATAGGCATGCATGAACATAAATAAAGCACTTACATACATACATAAATAAATCTTAAAAAAAAAAAAACAATACTAACCATGCCAAAACATTGTAATAAGGATGTTGAAGTATAGGTTTCCACAATTGTGACATTCCCAAACAACCAATACAAATATTACTTTGGTAAAGAGCACTGGCTGCTCTTCCAAAGAACCAGGTTCCTAGCACCCACATGGCAATTCAAAACTGTATGTAACTACAGATCCAGGGAATCCAGGGCCTTCTTATGGCTCCCATGAGCACCAGGCATTCATGTGGTGGACAGAAATTCATGCTGGCGAAACACTCATACACATTAAAACAAATAAAATGTGGCAGAAAACACTCGAGGAAGGAATCTGATGTCCGCCTCTTGTCCACTGATACATGCACACTTTATGCATCCCTCTCTCACACACACAATAGAAAAATCCAGGGAATAAACCGAGAAGTAGGAACACTGTAGATGTCCACGCTGAGAGTGACATCACAGCTGTGTTATCCATAAGGTGTTATTGCTTGGGGAATTTGATTCTTAGTCAAGAATGGAGAGGGCACTTATTCCAGGAATCACCAGAAGCGCTAATGCTTTCATCTGGGTTGAGCACAGTTCTTCAAAGGTTCTTGTTTACTTAGAGCTCTATTTATTTACTTCTCAAACACGATCTCACTACAAAAGTAGTCTTTGACTGGCTTAGAGTTTGCTGTCATACCAGGCTGGCATCAAACTTGGCAGCCTCTTGTCCCCTGTATGCTGGAATTGTGGGCATAAAGCACTATGCTCAAACTTCCATAGTGCTCTGTAATGCAGAGCACAGAGATGAGGTAGAACCTTATCTCCCAATGATTCTGGATAAAATAAGGAAAGGAGGCCTAAGTGAAACTCACTTGGATCTCAGGACCATAATGCCTGGCTCATGTGTCTCTTTTTTGATACCATTATTTTACCATCTCCTCCTGTGTGTTTCTGGATTCTGTTCTTTTTCTCATCCCTGGCAGAAATATGCAGGGACATCTGTTTGTTTGTTTGTTTATAGGGGCTTCTTTTCTACATTAGCCTTTACTCTCAGTATATGGCCCACATACTTCTATTACTTGTTGTTTCTTGCTTTTTCTTTCTCTTTCCTTTCTGGGTGTTAAAGTCAGGGAGTGTGCATCTGAGCAGGGGCTTTTCAACTGACCTACCTCAGCTTTGTTGTGGTTGCAGAAGATACCTTCTTACCTTGGTAGTAACATTTGATTTGTTTTCTGACTTAATGCTAAGTGTGAACAGTTCTGGTGTTTGTTTCTTGCTTGGTGTTTTGAGATAGGGTATCCCTGTGTTGCCCAGGCTGGCTCTGTACACTCTAGAGTGACCCTCCTGCCACAGCCTCCACACATGGCTAATGCTGCAGCATCCTAATGGCTTGTCTGTCCCTGTTCCTATAGCACCCTCTCTTGTTTACTCTTGTTCCTTTCAGGACTTCAACTAGATGTGCCTCCGCAATCGCTGGATCCAGAAGTTTTATTGAAAGTTAAGTCTGAGATTGAAGAAGAACTGAAATCCTTGGACAAAGAAGTCTCTGAAGGTCTGTTCACTCTTACGTTCCTGGACAACAAGCAGATTCTGTTGCTTGTGGTTTTGTTGATTTACTTGGTTTTCTCTCCTATTGTCTTTTGTTTTGTGTTTTTTTGGGGGGACAGGGTTTCTCCATGTAGCCCTGGCTGTCCAAGAATTCACTCTGTAGACAGGGCCAACCTCAAACTCACAGAGATCTACCTGCTTCTTCCTCTAGTGCTGGGATTAAAGATGTTCACCACCACATCTGGCAGCAGCTGCCATCACTTTCTCCTCCTCCAAAGATTTATTTCTGTGTGTGTTCACAGGTTCATAGTATCACATGTGAGTTCCTCCTGTGGAGCAGGTCTCACCTCTCATTAGAACATGATTTCCATAGCTTAATAACTTTTTTTTTTGCTAAAATATACATTTTAAATTATATTTTATAGTCAGGTGGTGGTGGTGCATGCCTTTAATGCCAGCACTTGGTAGGCAGAGGCAGGTGGATCTCTGAGTTCGAGGCCAGTCTGGTGTACAGAGTGAGTTCCAGGAATACACAGAAAAACCCTGTCTGGGAAAACAACAACCCCCCCCCCAAAAAAAAACAAAAAACAAAAAAACCAAACAACAAAAAATATACTTTATATTTGAAAACATTGTGATTATATCATTTTCCTTTCTTTTCTTTTCCTTCTTCCAGCCCTCCCATGTACCATTTCCCATGCTGCCTTCAAATACATAGCCTCTTTTATTTTTTTAATTGTTGGGAAGTATATTTCTAATTATATAAAGCCTCATAACTTTCAATAAATAACTGATAGATTATGTTTATAAATTAGTGCCTTGTTAATTGTGAAAGAAGATGAATAAAAGTTTATGAACAAACTGGGCATGCTAGTTTGTGCTTGTAGTTCTAGCACGTGGAAAGGCAGAGGGACAAAAATTCTTACAAGTTTGAGGCCATCCTGGGCTACACAGTAACCCCTGGGTTAGCTATAGTGAGACAAACAAACAAGCACTCAAACAAACAAACTTACAAATAAGCCATTGGTAGTGGCTTTTGCCTGTAATTCCAGTTCTTAAGAGACTGAGGTAAGAGAATCATGAATTCAAAATCATGGGCTATATAGGGAGACCTCCGTCTAAAAAAACAACAAAACCTTAAATTTAGAACTTGTTTTGTGTTCCAGATAAGATATATAATACGCACACGCATATGTATGTATGTGTGTGTGTGTGTATATACGTGTGTGTGTGTGTGTATATATATATATATATATATATATATATACACATATACATATATATGTATATATAATGTGTGTATAATGATTAAGTCCCTTGTAACTCTTGTTTTTAAGAGTAACTACCTCAGTTTCATGGACTATCATAAAGATGCCCCTTTTATTATTTTGCTTTATGTTTTTGTTTCTGAGATCAGAGCTCGTTGGATCCCAGGTTGGCCTTAGATTTACTCTGTAGCCAAGGCTGGTCTTGAACTTCCAATCATCCATCCATCCATCCACCCACCCACTCACTCACCTATCCATCTATCTATCTAGAGACAGTTTCTCTGTGTAATAGCCCTGGCTGTCTTAGAGCTTGATTTATAGGCTGATCTTGAATTCACGGAGCTCTGCCTGCCTCTACCTCCCAAGTGCTGGGGTTGAAGGCGTATGCCACCACACCTGGTTGAGTTTTATTGTTGCTGACACAGGCTCTTGCTGTACAGCCCAACTGGTTTGAACTCACTGTGTAGCCCATGCAGGTTTCCTACTTGAGAGCCTCCTGCCTCAGAATCCTGAGTGTCAGGATTATAGGTGTGCACCATCACACCTGGCTCATAGCACAACTCTTGGTGCTTTTTTCTTTTTAGATGTGTTTGGATGTGTTGTCTCCATGTGTGTCAGTGTACCATGTGCATGCCTAGTGTCCATGCAGGCCCAGAAGAGAGCTTTGGATCCCCTGGGACTAGGTGCTGGGATCCCCTGGTCCTCTGGAAGAGCAGCAAGTGCTCTTAACCACTGGAAATCTCTCCTGCCCCAGTACCGTTTATTAATTTTGGTCTTTTTTATCTTGTCTTCAGCATTCACCAGCACAGGCTTTGACTGTCACACCTCACCAGTGTTTAGCCCTGCTAACCCTGAAAGCTCAATAGAAGACTGCTTGGCCCATCTTGGAGAAAGAGTGTCACAGGATCTGAAAGAGCCTTTGCATAAAGCCTTGCAAATGATCCTCAGCCAGTGAGTTGCCGTTGTGGAGTGGAGTGTGCTGGTCTCTGGGTCACACAGTCCTGGGTTGGCTGAGGCTTTGCTTTAGGCAGCTGTTCCCTTTTCCTTCCTCTGTGCTCCTGAAAGCATCTGGTTTGTGTTTTGAATGCCAGATTTGCCTTGGAGCAGGGATTTAAGTTTCCAGCAAAGCTCTGATGGTTTTTATTTACATGTTGAGCTGTCAGGTTTCAACAGATGCTCTTACTGTGTTATAAATGCAAGCAATCGCCCTTGTCCGAATCCTTCTTTGTTTCTGTTCCATCTGTATCTAGACATGAGGGCTGGAGGGTTGTGCACTGTAATGTGTGATTGGCATTATCCCTGTGTTTTAGATTTCTGTCTTTAGGATTGTATCTGTATCACAAATACTGTTACCCTTTGGGGTCGTCCATCTGCCTGTGAGTAGCTTCTCCTACAACAAACTCCTTCTTAGCCATGACCTTCACCATAGGAAAGCTAACGTTGAGACGATAGTGAAAATGCTAGATGCTAAGATGCCAAAATAGAACCACTTCACTTATAAGTCTAAAAAATCAACTTCCCCTAATTCTTTGAGAATTATTGAGGGATTGGTAGGAATTACAAAATTAGTATGAATTGATAACAGTGGGTCTCTAGGAGAAAATTTGTTTCTCACCAAAAGGCTGAAATTCAGATGCCAAATCACTGTTATAGTAAGGACATTCCTTACTTTCATGTAGTCAAGGTTTATAGTTGGCTGTGTTTTATCAGGAAGTAATTGGTGTTTAGTCCTGTATATTCTGATGAAATGAGCAGATATAGAATTCCTAATTTCTGCTCAGTGAAATGAAACCATAGTTGGATTTTCTCCCTCGGACACAAGCTTAAAGACATGTGGAAAGGATAATCTGAGTGGCCAGGAACTCAAACTTAAGCAGGAAATTTGGGTAAGCATTATGGCTTTCCAGGTGTTGAGAGAGCCACAGGCATGAGTTCTGTGGACCCTGAGGAGGTGAAGGGTGGAGCGAGCAGGCGTCACTAAGACTCAGATGTTCGTATATTGTGCTTAAATGTTCATATATTGTGTATATAAAGATTACAAGCTTCAAAAATTCTAGTTTCTGGACTGGGAAGATGGCTCAGTGCTTAAGAGCACTGGCTGTTCTTCCAGAGGACCCAAGTTCAATACCCAGCACCCACATGGCAGCTCACAACTGTCTGTAACCCCTGCTTCTGGGGAGCTAGCACCCTCACACAAACAAATGCAGGCAAACACCAGTGCACATAAAGGAGTATTAGATAAACATTTTTAAAATTCTAGTTTCTTTTCTTTGTCTTTTTTGAGACAGGGTCTCACTTTATTCCAGATTTGGCCTGAATTCACAGAGATTTTAACCTCTGTCTCCCAAGTGTTGGTTAAAGCATGTGCCACCACCATGCCTGGCCTTGAAGATTTGTTTTTATTGATATGTATGTTGATGCCAAGGAGGCTTGAGAAAGGTGTTGGGTCTCCTGGACTAGGAGTTCCAGATCCCAGCATGGGTGCTTGGAACTGAACAGGGGCAGGAAGTGTTCTTTATCTTAACTGCGGAGTTCCTTCTCCAGCTCCTTTATACAGATCATGTCATTCTTCGTATGTAAGTGTCTTTGTTAATTGTAACTTGGCTGAGACATTGCCAACTCTCCAGCGAACACAATATTGTTTTTTTTTTTTTTTTTTTTTTAGTCAGGGTCACTGTGGAGTGACAGGGTTAAAGGTTTGTGCCATCATGCCCTGCGTTTCTTTTTACTTTAGGAGAAAACTGGTTTAGATGAATATATGCTTTTCCCAAACCCTGAACAGTGATACAGTTATTTTTGAAGTTGATTGGATATCAAATAAAATTTGTTCTGAAGTGTACTTTTGAAAATTTTAACCTCTGTTACTGATCCCTTAGAACCAATGCAATTATTGTACAGGTTGAAGGCAGTATCTTAAAGTGGAAATATCTCCTACTCCAGATGGTTTTGCTAAAGTGAAGTCTTTAAATGAAAGACCTTTGCTTTTTAAAGGTACTCACTCCCTTTCTTAGACCTCTTAAGGAAGGCTGGTATTCAGCTACTTGCGTTTCTATGTATTAGAACATGACTGTTCTAACCTGCCACATCTTTCATGTGCATGTATGTGTGTACATTATAATGTTTTAAACCATGTTTCATTCTGAAGGATGATAAAGTACTTAGCCTGATAGCCAAACTACCTCTAAGGACTTCAGTGACCCACAGCAGCATCAAACAGTTCAGGAAAGGAAGTAAAGGGACTGAGAGCCGCAAGTAAAGCTTCAGGGACATGTAGGTAGGTGGGTGATACAGTATCTGGTGAAATTTGAGTTTTCTAGGATTCTAGTATGTGTCCCAAGACTTGTAAAAGAATGCCAAGCACTAGTAAGGGTTATGAAGGCCATCCCTTCAGCAGCCCTGCAGTGGGGAATTGATGTTGGCGCATACAGCAGGGTGATAGCCGTGCCATCAGACCTGTGTCCTGAAGCCCTTACCCTGGTGCTGCTTACGAGATACAGTGCAAGTCACATGGAAGGAACAACTGGCAAACACAAAACACGTTAATGAGAACTTTAAATTTTAAATACTCAAATTATTAGTGAGATGTTTCACATTTTTTCCTGACTCTTTGAAATCCAGCATGTGTTAATATTTTAGGCACAATAGCCACATTTCAATTTTATTTTATTGTTTTTATATTTTTGTTTTTTAATTTTCATTTATTTTATATTTTGTTCCCTTCTTTCTTTATACTAGGCCACTAGTAAGTGGTAATTTTTGTTTTTTGTTTTGTTTTGTTTTTTGAGACATTTCTCTGTGTAGTCTCGACTTCCTGGAACTTGCTCTGTGGACCAGGCTGGCCTCAAACTCATAGAGCTCCACCTACGTCTGCCTCCCAAGTGCTGGGATTAAAGGCGTGCACCACCACCGCCCAGCCAGTGGTGGCTATTATTCTTTTATATTCATCAGCTGGAAAATTCACAGACTAGAGTGGTCAGAACAGAAGTTTTAAATCTATGAATCCAAGAATCCTCTCACTTTTTATTTATTTATGGCTTTTTTTTTTGAGACAGAGTCTCTCTACCATAACTCTAGCTGTCCTGGCTAGCCTTGGTGTCACAGAGTTCTGCCTGTCTCTGCCTCTTGAGTGCTGGGACTGAAAGCGTGTACCACTGTACCGGCTTCCACTTTTTCAAAAATAAGTTTGTTAATACTTGACTCCAAATGGGAAGGGTAATTTTATTTTCCAAGCAATAGTTGCCTTCACATTTTCTGGTACCATGTTTTGTTTCATTTTAAATGCATACAGGAAACGGTGCTTAAAGTTCGTCAGCAAATTTCAGTGAGACTTTCCGTCTCCTGCAACGACTCAGGTTAGGACTGGTGTGCAGATGATAGAACACCTCATTTTTCTGCGCTCCAGATTTTCTTGTGGGTTTTTTTTTTTTTTTGAGATAGGCTCTTGATATGGCGCCCTAACTGGTCTGGTATTCACTGTGTAGCCCAGGCTAGCCTATTGCTCTTCTTGTTCAGTGCTGAGATCATAGGGGTGTGTCAGGAGACCAGGCTCTTACAGGATTTTGTATTAGAGCACAAGTCAAAAATAGGGCACCAGTTATTACCCTCGTCTGTCCAGCTCACAGCCGTATCGTAAACAGTCTTTGATGACTACCTATTAGTGTTTAACATTTATACTTTTATGCTTTTTTCTGTTGTGTGTATGTACGCACGCGCGTGTGCGCGTCGTCCTGGTTGTTGCTCTGTAGGCCAGGCTTGAACTTAGAGATCTCCCTGCTTCCTCCTTCCAAGTACTAGGATTAAATATGTGTGCTGCTACCACTGCCTGGCTTAGACTTTTGCCTTAAAAAAAGATTGTGTTTTCATTTGACTGTGTTAAGCGTTACATGATATGTTTGATTCTGAATCTGTAATTCAGGTATTTATCTACAACATAGAGGTTCTATCAGATAAATTCCAAGTAATTAAAAAATAATGACTAGAATACACATTAATCTTGCTATGCTATAATGACCTCCCCAGCAATATAGAGAATGTTTTGGGAAAACACATACCAAATATTAAAAGCCATATCTTGAAAAAAAAAAAATATATATATATATATTGAACAATTTTAGTCGTGTTAGCAAACGTTCAGCAACACAATAGTGTCAGTATATTTTTTTCATCTGAAACTTCAGCTTTTTTTTGTGACACAGACTTAAAAAAAAAAAAAATCTCTACAGGCCAGTGACGTATCAGACATACCGTGACTGTACAGTGGAGACTGCGGTTCACGCCAGCGGATGGAATAAGGTACTAACCAGGTTGTCTTTGCTCTTACATTTCAGTGCTAGAAATAAAGTACAGAGAGAATTATTAGCATCACACAGCATAGAACTGGTACCACCAATTAATGCATAAATCTAAAGTGTGTTAAATGGATATATATATTTTTTTTTTTCAAAAATTAATGCTGCAAGGTTCTACAATGTGCCTCAAAGTATATGCTGTGGTATGCTGTCCTTCATTTGTGTTGAGTTTCCTGTCTTTTTTATGCTTTTTTTAAAGATTTATTTATTATGTATACAATGTTATGCCTGCACGTACACCTGAGTGCCAGAAGAGGGCACCAGATTTCATTATAGATGGTTATGAGCCACCATGTGGTTGCTGGGAATTGAACTTGTGACCTCTGGAAGAGCAAGCAGTGCTCTTAACTTCTGAGCCATCTCTCCAGCCCCTCCTGTCATTTCTTGATTTCTCTGTGTTAAACATGACATTTGTCTCCAGGAAGTTATTTCTTAACGTGTGAGTTAATATGTCTTAGAGAAGACTGGGGTGTTCATAGATAACATTTACTGGTTCTTTTAAAAGATTAATGCCATTTGTGTTTTACAGTTTATATAGTAGTGTATCTCATGTCGTATCTCATTTGATCATCCCAGACTCTCCTTTGAAGAGTGCACAGTGGATTTTATTGCCCTGTTTTGGGGCTGGAAGGGGTGGAATAGCCTGCTGACGTAGTATACCTGGGATTTTGCGCAGGCCAGAACTGTGCTGCTGAGCTACAGCCCAGCCAAGCTTTTGTCCTGTTAGTGATTATCTTACATTGGTGACTCTTCAGAAAAGGGTTAAATAACTAGTGCAGGATCTCTTGACTAGCAGCCAGTTAAGATCTGCAGGTTCTACCCTTTCCACTGTGTCGTGTGATTGTCCATTGTCGTTTTTGTTGTTGTTGGTCTCTCTGTAGAGCTGGCTGTCCTAGAATTTTCTTGGTAGACCAAGCTAGCCTCCAACGCTCAGAGACTCACCTGCCTCTACCTCCCAAGGTGTGCCACCACAGCAGGTGATTATCTGTGTCTTACACTGAGTTGCCTGCTTGTTATCCTGCAAAGGAGAGTGTAGCAGGAGTGGCCTGCAGCAGACATGACCTGTCTTTTGGGCCAGCTCCATCTCATGTTTGCATCTTTCCTTGGTGGATGTCTAATGCTCTCCAGTGTCCCAGAGTCTCCACTGAACGTAGGCTTCACCCCCACATCTTCACACAGTAGCCTCTCAGAGCTTCCTTTCGGGGACTCTGACGAGCCTCAGCTGTATGGCTTCAGCACCATTGTGGAACCGTGGACCAGAGTCCATGCATCTCTGTCTTGCAACTTTGATGCCTTCAAAATAATACCATGTGGATGATGGTGCCAAGTTCTGCTGCCAACTCCAGATGGAATCTGGCCCCTTGGATCATAGCTGCTGTAGCTTGTGTGTGCCAAGGTTATTGTTTTTGAGCAGGGAGCCCCTTAAACTATATTTTTAGGTCAAGCTGTTTCCTTTCAAACAAGCCTTTTCACAGATTGGTGCCTTGAATTGAAGGGGGTCTTGCCCTCCAAGGCAGAGCAGGAAGTTTGTCTTGGTTTACAGCCTTTCTTCCACACACAGTTTGGCTGAAGCTTTACATTTGTTTATACTCTTTTCAGTGCCAGACTGCACATTCTTATGTCTTTTTGTCAGGGAATTAAATAAATACATGAATAAAGGTAAGCCAGTAGAAGTCATCCTTTCTGATGCTGAAAGGTTCCTAAACATTCCATTGTAAGAACGTCTAAGGGGAAAATATGCAGAATGCTGTTGCTGAGGAAATTACTTAGAATAAGAATAAAAAGATAGGAGAGAGAACTCAGTGGATAAGAACACTGTCCGCTCTTCTAGAGGCCCTGAGTTCAGTTCCCAGCAACCAACCACACGGTGGCTCACAACTGATGCCCTCTTCTGGCATGCAAGTGTACGTGGAGGTGGAGCACTCATACATAAAATCAGTAAATAAAAAGTGCGGGCGGTAGCACACTGCAGAGGCAGGGTCTTCCAGGACAGCCAGGGCCACACAGAGAAACGCTGTGTCATCTCCACCCCGCCAAGAAAAAAAAAGATAAGCAGTTAAGCATTTTATTTAACATTAAAAAAAACACAAAACTGTGAGTACTAAAAAAAGTAATAATTGGATTTTAAAGTATTTAGAATACTTGTGGGTATACAGTTGATAAAGATGAGTTGTAGAAGTAACTTTTCCTTTTTTGTTTTTTTAGCCCAGGCTAACCTCAGGCTAGCTATGTGGCCAGGGATGAGCTTGAACTTCTAGGCTTCCAGTTACTAACACGTAATCTCCTGGGTTCAGGGTTGAACCACCTAGTTTTATGTGTTGCTTCGTAGATGCTAAGCAAGTACTCTAGACCAAAGGAGCTCCATCTTTAGCCCTACTTAGAAGTAGCTCTTGATGCTTCTTGCATGGGAAAGTAAGTTCAAGTATGTAAAGACAATCTACATTGTATTTAAAAACTAGTCTCCTAAACTGGGCATGGTGCTATGTCTGTGCCCAGCCTCAGAATGTACACGTTTGTGGTTTATTATGGGAATTTAGAGTGCTTTGCAGTACAGAACATCTCAGGCCTTTAAGGTTGATAAATGAATTTGCAAAACTGATTCTCAAGCCATTCTTTACCTGTTCCTGCCCAAGGCACAGCATTGGGGCTAGATAAACAGCCATTTCATTTTTGTCTTAAACAGCTTGATGCATTTTCTTATGTAAGAGGCCTATCTTCTTCTTCTTCATAGCTCTTTTTCCATTATAGTAAGAAAAAGTTTTCATGTATTTTGAGCTGGAGTTCGAGAGTGTAAAAAAAATGATGTGTGTTGTATTTTTCCATTCAGACTTCAAAGTACACTCTCTCTAGGCTGCTTTTACTCTGAAGTAAAAGGCAAAGAATGTTAGGATGAAGCAGGAGCTCATTTTAAAAGTTTGTTTTCTTTTGAGGGAATACTTTTTGTCATTCCATTATTTCCTCAGTAATCTAGTTACAAGGAACTGAAATTGGTTTATTTCCTCCTACATTCCTTCTTAGGTCATGAAGAGACTTTGATGTTTTAGACAAAAAAGCCCAAATGCAGATGGCTACCTGACATGGGTCAATTTGCCCTCTTTCTCTTTTCTCCTTGTCTCCAGCTTTTTAAATTGTGATGTTAGGGAGTGAAAAACCAGGGCCTCTGCCCTTTGCCACTGAGGCATCCCCAGCCTTTTAGTTTTTTTTCTGTATGCAATTTTTTTTTTTTTTTTTTTTTGAAGAAAGGTAATAGACTCTAGTTAGTTTCTGTTGTAAATTCTGATTATTTTAAATATTGAGCCACAGGGTTATTAGGTATAGTTTATAATGCCTCTTTTTATATTTCATTTTTTATGACTTTCATAAGGTTGCTCAGAATTTTTAAATAAATTTTAAAATTGATTTTGCCAAATGTGATTCCCTCACACCCATAACGTCAGCACTCTGGAGACAGAGGCAAGAAGATTGCCACAAGTGTGAAGACAGCCTGAGAGCTGTCTCACAAAGAGCAATCATGAAAAGTCCTTGTTTTCAAATAGGTAATGAGAGCATTTGGTGCACAACGTCAGAAGTACAGAAATAAGCCAGGCAGTGGTGATGCCTGTGTTTAGTCAGGTGGATCTCTTGAGTTCGAGGCCAGCCTAGACTGCAGAGCACATTCCAGGACAGCCAGGGCCACACAGAGAAGAGACCCTGTCTCAAAACAGAACTTTGCCCTCACCCTGCCTTCAGTCTCCTGGTTTAAGTGAGTGCTGTGCTTGGTTTCTTGTTTTTTCAGAGACACTGTAAGTCACGTGTATATGTGTGCTTATGTGTGTGTGTTGACCTCAGTTGTGGTAATTGGTGAGTAAACAATGTAGTTCTTAACAGCTAGGATGGTTGCAGTTTTTAGATTAGTTTTTGTGAATTGTTTTTAGTATTTTTCATTATAATTAATTATTATGGGAATTTCTGACTGTGTTTCCCACGTGGTTATTTTCATATAACCACCTTTTCTCCCCTCCTTATGAAATTCACATACCGTAGTCTGAGAAATTTTAGCAGGAGTTGATGTTTACCCTCGTGAGATTGAAGTAACCCTAATCGTGTCTGCATTAAAAATTTCAGCAGTCGAACATAAACTCTGTTGCAAGAATTTCAAGTTTTATGTTTTGTGTTTTCATCTTTGCATTGAAGATTTTGGTGCCTCTAGTTTTGCTACAACAGATGCTTTTGGAATTGACTCGCCGCGGTCAAGAGCCTTTGAGTGCGCTGCTGCAGTTCGGGGTGACCTATCTGGAGGACCACGCGGCAGAGTTCATCATTCAGCAGGGTGGCTGGGTATGACGGCTTCCCATTGTTTCTGTAGAATAAGCAAGCCTGTTTTTAAGGGTTTTAAATACTTTTTGTTTGCTGGGGTCAAACTCCTGCTCTTGCTCATGGTGGGCTGAGTTGCACCCCTGGCCAGGCCTTCCGTTTCTGTTTTGCTCCTTACAGTGTGTGTTAGTACTGGATGACAGGCAGTGAGAAGGCTGCTTGGACCATTTTAAGTTACTAAGGTTTTACTTAAATTGGTACAGTGGTGCTTGTAGTTGTTGGTCATGAAACATTTCATGCTAAAACAATAAAAACCAGGTTAACTTAGAAATGAGTGCAGGTGTCCACAGGGCTAGAGAGGTCTGGCCCCTCTGGAGCTGGAGCCACAGATAGTTGTGAGCCACCTGACGTGGTGCTGGGACCAACTCTGCTCCTCAGTCACAGTTTATAAGTGTATATATTCTTAGACAGTAAATTTTGTGTATAGGACCATATTCTTTATTTTTCTGTAACTCAGGTGTTTCACTCAGTGTTATGGTCAGTATTTCTTAGCCTTTTCTCATTATCACTTTACTAATGATCTTTTTTGCCAGCTTCCTTCCTCCATGGGGTGGGGGACTTTTAAAGCACAGTTGGGGTTTATTTAATCCCAGCCCTCGGAGGCAGAGGCAAGTGGATCTCTCTGAGTTCGAGGCCAGCGTGGTCCACAAATTAAGCACAGCCAGGGCTACAAAGAGAAACAAAAGAAAAAAGAAAGCACTTCATTTGGGGAAACATTAGAATTTTAGCCACAAGTACCAGCAGAGCCCACCTTCAGAAGCCCGGTGCATGCTGCCCATGAGAGTCACTGCCTACTTAAAGCTGAGTGAGGGAAGGAGGGAAAGCTGAGAACCAAGAACCAAGGCTTCTCCAGCTGGACACAAGTTGGTGCTTCGATGTGCAGTTGCCCCCGCCCCTTTCCCAGGAGAACGAGCTGCTTTGAAGATTGGATGGGTTGTGGGGAAGAAGAGAGTTCTGAGAAGCTATCTGGCGCAAGCAGTGGCAGCCAGCAAAGAGATCTCCTCACACAGTGCAGAGACAAGGGCCAGGGTCCAATTCTTTGGAAATTTGTTTTGATCACATTCACCCCCATTTCTTACTTGCCCTGCTACTTTTCCATCCTCTCCAACCTTTTTTTTTTTTAACTGTATAACCTGTCAAGTCCAATTTGCGCTGCCCATATACTCCTGGGGGGTGTGTGTGGGGCATCCACTGGAGTGTGAGTGGCCTGTCAAGAGCCACGCCCTTAAGGAAAAATGACTCTCCCTTCCCCAGAAACCATTAGCTGTCCTTAGCTCCTCAGTCAAGAGAGGGTGTTCCTGAGCCTCTGCCCTCTGCAAGAATGCTGACTGGCCTGAGGTTATGTACTGGTCTCTTAGTAATTGGTGCAACTATGTCCTCTGACACAAGATGTCAGCATGAATCACCTTTAAGGCACTTTGTGTTAAGTAGGGAATTGACAGCTCTTAATGTCATTCTTTTTAAAGATTTATTTATTATGTATAGTGTTCTGCCTGCATGTGTGACAGCAGGCCAGAAGAGGGCACCAGATCTCATTATAGATGGTTTTGAGCCACCTTGTGGTTGCTGAGAATTGAACTCGGGACCTCTGGAAGAGCAGCTAGTGCTCTTAACCTTTGAGCCATCTCTCCAGCCCCCTCTTAATGCCATTCTAAGCCAACCCTGGTGGCACAGGTATATAATCTCAGAAAGTAGAAGCAGTAGAATGGTAAGTTTGAGGCCAGCCTGGGCTTCACAGTGAGTTCCAAGCCAGCTTAAATATACAGAGCGATCTCAAAACAGAAAGGAAAGAGAGAAAAAGGGAACTTCCCATCTTTATTAAATGGCAAGCGTTCAGGTGTGCCTGTAAGTGTTCATGAGGCTTTCTTTTTTCTCATCTTTAAGTCTGACTTATGTTTCCTTGATTCTGACTTGTATTTGCCTACTACCCAGTTAGGGCAGGTGAGAGCTGTGTACTGTGACTGAGTCACACCCTTTCTACCTCTGCTCTCGCTACTCATTTCCTGCACTCTTGCATTTCGAGCAAGTCTGTTTCCTGAAAGGGCAGCATTTCAAGTCGACTTTCTCCATTGTCATGTACTAAACTAAAAAGATTCAGTTTTAGGTTACATAGAAACACTATTGTAAACTTTCATCTAATGTCTGTCTTAAATTTTTGAATGAAATTAATTTTTAAATCTCTTTCCCCTGATTTGAAAGATTCTTGTCACAAGTTAAAGAGTAGCAGCCATAAAAAATAATTTTTTGTTTTTACTCTAGGATAAGTGTTTTCTTGGAAGCATTTAGGGTAGGGGTCTTTTACAAAAATTTCATGCTATGAACATTGATCTGAAACCAAGTATGGTTGCAAATAAATTAGGTTAGTAAATCTGGGAACTCTGCCGGTATGGGTGTTCGTTATGCTGGGTTCTTGGTTGATCCCACCCCCTTCTTCAGTGCTCGTGAGGACAGCCAGAGCCTCTGCACAAGCTGCACATCAGCTCTCTAGCTCTTGGCCTGCATCCCATCCCAGGGCTGGGTTCTGAAATATGCTCTTGTGGGTCTTGGCATCATATTGCGTGAACATTAATTAACTTCTCTAGAAGGTCTTTTCACACTCACAAATTAGAAGGGATTGAAGAAGCATTTTTGTTAGTGTCCTGTTTGAACATTTAGAAAATCAGCTACCTGCTTCTGTCTCATAAGCTGAATATTTGAAAGGGTATGTAAGGACTGAGAATTAAAGGTTTATTGGCACAGCTGAGAGGGAGTGCTTTCCTAGGTGGATTTACCAGTGAGGGTTGGCTTTGGAATTGTGCCTACCCATCCTCAGATGGAAAATGAAACCCATAGGTGCTTAGATCACAAACCATGACACAAAAGGTAAAATTAACACCAACCTGGCCAAATAATTTGTAACTGATGTAAGAAGGAGAAAAAAAAAAAAAAACAAAACACCAAAGAACTTGGAACAAAATAAACTCAATATTAGACATTGGGAAGCCTGTCTCATGTAGACAGGCTGTCCCTGGGCTTGCTCTGTTGCTGAACTCCTTGAAGCTTGCTGTGAACTCTGATTTTCCTTTCTTACCTCCCAAGTGTTGCAGTTACAGACCTGCACTTCCACACTTTGTTTATGTAGTGTTGAGCATCAAATCCAGGGCTTCAGGCACAGTCAGTCACTGTCAACTGAGCTACATTCTCAGCCCCCAGAATGGTTTTTTTTTTTTTCATGCTTGCTAAGCCAGGTTTTCCAGTTCCTAGCTCCGAAGCAGAGTTATGCTTTATTTTGCAGTGTTTTAACATTTCCTTTAGCTTCATGGGCGGTTTTGTACATTTTTTGTGTGGCTCTCTGCTTGAAGACTGGCTCTTTACTTTGGGCATAAAGTTGAGGCACTGATGAGAAAAGAAACTGGACTTCAGTTTGCCTACAGCAGAGGGTCAAGTGTGAGGCTGACTCACACTTCTAAGTGTAAGCTTGTTAGAGACGAGCTTAAGTGATGGAGATGGTTCTAGAACCACTTCCACTCCACTTTGCTGGAGTTTAGATAGCCTAGCATGGTGTCTGTATGGACACATCCCCAGGGGGAAGAGCTTTAGTGGGCATCTTCCCCCCCCCCTTTTTTTTTTGAGAGTATATTAAGGCTGGCCTGGAACTTACTATGTAGCCCAAGCTGGCCTCCTGTCTCAGCCTCTTCAGTGCTGAGACTACGAATGTGAGCTGCTATGCTTGGCTTTCTTGCAGGACTCGCACGTAAGGGCTGGTGCAATGGTTCAGCAGGTCAAGGTGCTTGCCACCAAGCTTTACCTTAATTTTGATCCCTGGAACCCACATGGTAGGAGAGAACCCTCTGATCTCCACACAGTCTCCATATACACCTTCTTTCTCTGCCCTCAACCACAAAATAAATAGAAGCATTACAAATTTTAGAAGGGAAAATAAGGTAATTACAAAGAGCATAAACACTTGGTAAATTTTTACTAAAGTGGCATGTCTCAGACCAAAGTAAGTTGTAAGGCGGGGTTCATGACAGCAGAGGCTAAAGTCCCATTATTAGCTCCCCAAGCTGTATGGACAAGCAGCTGCTGTGATGTCTAAGATGGATGGGAAGGTGCTCTAAAAGTGGGACAGAGGCTCTTTTTAAGCCTCCTGTTAGCTTTGCTTGGACTGTTAAAAGTGGTGTGAAGGGTTTTGTAGCTCACTGGTAGAGTACTTGGCCTGCATAAGGCCTGGGCCCTATTACTAGGACCACACAAACAGCCAGTATAGACAAAGGGAAAAGACATTTTACAGCAAATCCTGTTTTAGCTTGTTACTGTTCCCCTTATGAAAGTTACATTTCAGTAAATTTAGCACCCCAAAGGTCTCTTTCCATATGCTCACCTATTTAGATTCTTGGTTCTATTTTTATTTCTTAAATCAGTTCTTGTTAGAGTGTCTTGTTTTTCAAAGTGCAGATTAGCAACTTACTGAGAGTTCATCCTTTATTTTATTTTTTAATTTAGAAGCAAGGTCTCTGTGTAGCCGTGGCTGTCCTAGAACCCATTCTGTAGACCAGGATGTCCTCAAATTCACTTGCCTCTATGTCCCAAGTGCTGGGATTAAAGGTGTGTGCCACCACTGCCTGGCTTAGAGTTCATACCCTTAAACACCTGGGCAGCAGGACCTGGAAGTTTAGCATAATGCTCACAGGGGACTGACTGTGGGTGTGAAACTATAGGAGCTACGTAAAGTCCTCATATATAGAGCGCCTAGAACACGAGTGAGAAAAAAATGGGGCTACAAGACGGCTCTATGATGTAGTTTAGAGACAGAGTGTTTGGTTGATGGGCACAAGGTCCTGGGTTTCATCCCTAGGACAGAGAAGAGAGCCCTAGAAATAGAGAGGAAGGCTTAGTTTTATTTCATTTAATAGTACTGTGCCTTTAAAAAAAAATTACGTTTGGTTTCAGAGGAAAGCACAGCTGTGCTCAGGAAAGATAAG